CCGTGACCCTGAAGTCCTTAATTAATCCGAATCTGTTTCAATGTTGTTATATGAATGTATGGATACATGACATTCGGACGAATATGGTACCAACCAATTTACATCATACATGTTTTTTATTAGAATATACAAATACGATGTACAGACAGACTCAAGTGTATCATAGCGGCCAGTTTACGTGAATGTTAACAGGGAGTTTTACTGTTCGAATCTGGATGAATTACAACACAGTACTGGTTGAATGATTGTAATTATTTACTCAGTAAGGTTGTATAAATAGTTCACTCACACCCCTAGTTAACGTCAAAGGACTAAGATGTTAGAGAAAAACGTATATGAGTAATAATGAAACTTTCACAGATGGTTCTATTACAGATTTCCAGAGACTTACTTCCATTACACTTGTTACTCTAATACAGCACCTCTTCCCACATAGGAGAACATACAATAATATTATAAAATTCAAGATTAGAGCTAATTTTTCGAATCGACGGTTAAACTTGTACCTCAGTAATAATTTATACATTTTGTTCAACTGTGAATGACGTAAAGCATACAATTTAGAAAAAAACAACAAAAAACAGTGATCCTTAGAAACAAGAACATTTTGTCCCTAGGAACAAAAGAGTAGATCATTGAAGTCAGAGGATAGGAAATATACGCTTTTCTTTGGGACAAAAATAGTAGATAATTGAAGTCAGAGGATAGGAAATATACGCTTTTCTTTGGGACAAAAATAGTAGATAATTGAAGTCAGGGGATAAAAAATATATGCTTTTCTTTGGGACAAAAATAGTAGTCAGAGGATAGGAAATATGCGCTTTTCTTTGGGACAAAAATAGTAGTCAGAGGATAGGAAATATATGCTTTTCTTTGGGACAAAAATAGTAGATAATTGAAGTCAGAGGATATGAAATATATGCTTTTCTTTGGGACAAAAATAGTAGATAATTGAAGTCAGAGGACAAGAAATATATGCTTTTCTTTCGATAAAAGTCTGGACGGTAACACATTAGCTAAATTTAATGTATATTTTTGGACCGTCTATGACTTCACTGGGGTTTTGTGAAGTTCTATTGTTCTGTGTTGCTTGTGAAGTCGATCAACAATATAGTTATAAAATTCGTATTCCGTCGTCAAGTTTCTTTTTAGCATTTCTTTTATTCTTCTGTGAACTTTACCCTTCTTGGACGTTTTGTTTACGACCCCTGTTAAAAACAAAAACAATTGTAAAAATTAGGGTTGTGGTTGTTAGTCAATCAAGGCCTGGTGGTTAGGGCGCTCGACTCGCAAACTGTGGGCTCGAATCCCTGTCACCAAATGTGCTATCCCTTTCAGGCATTATAACATGTCGGTCAATTCCACTATTCGCTGGTAAAAGAAAAGCCAAAGAATTGGCGGTGGGTGGGGTTGAATACCTGCCTTCCCTCGAGTCTATAACTGCTAAATTAGGGACGGCTAGCGCAGATAACCCTCGTGTTGCACGAAATTCTAAAACAAACAAACAATCTAGTCGAATATAAAATGCTCAGTAAACAGAAGTTGATTATAGTAACGAAAGAAAAATACTGTCTAAAATATAGCAAAGTACACGTAAGTTCACTAATGAAAAATTCAAAATAGGGACTACAAATACATTGAAAGTATTAACAAAACATTTTAACACCCGTTAGTTTTAGATACTAAAACAACCACCTACTTATAGTTTATTGTATAACAAAAACAACAACTATTCTGACTTCAGATCGCTTAGATACAGCGAAGACGAAAAACAAAACATAAATCATAGTGGGTTTATCCTACTGAAGTTGTTAAAACGTTTGGAATTGATATAAACGAGTTTTAAAGTTCTTTATTTTAGTTTCACTGGAATAATTACTAACAAGCAAAATGTAAGTTTAAAAACACTTGTAGAACCAGTTTAAAATAACTAACTTTAACTCGTTCATATGGTTCCCCGGTGGGAAAAACGGTAAGTTGACGGATTTACAACATCCGGGTTCCATTTCCAGCGGTGGACATGGTAAATAGTCCAATGTGGCTTTGGACTAAAACAAACAAACTTGTATAAATGCTTCTATTCTTCATGTTAATTTTTTTATCAATAGGGAATGTATTTTATTATAGCAATAGATTGTATTCTACGTTTAAATATTACAGTAAATAGTGCTATTTGTGTAACCAAAAATGAACCAGAACTAGAAAATATAAAATTTTCTCGTAAATAAGCAAATTCTAGCTAGGGAATCTAGAGGGCGTTGCACGTATACCCAGTTACATATGAGACGAAGATCAAACCGAAAAAAAAAGGTATTTGAAGCATCTGATACCACAACAAACAAATTGTTTGTATTATTGTTTTTAACAACAGTTTTTGTTTTGTTGCTGTTGTTGGAAAAAAAAAAAATGGAGCAGAGCTTCACTGGGTTCCACCACGAAAATAGGCCTAACATTTAGGCAAAAGCATGAACCAATAAGAAAACAAGAAACTTCAAAGTTTTTAAGAGTTGTCATAATCTGAGTGGTAGCTTTGAAACAATGTAGACTGAATGTTTGGTTGTTAAGCACAAAGCTACACAACGAGTTATCTCTACTCTGCCCATCACGGGTATCGAAGCTTGATTTTTAGCGTTGTAAGCACGCTGGCTTAACTCTTAGCCAGTGGGAGTTGGGGGTGAGGGAGGCGAAATGATGCGGAGAAACTTTTTAATATTTGTTTGTTAGTTTGTTTCAGATATCGCGAAAAGCTACACAAGAGCTGTCTGTGCATATCTGTCTACCTAATTTCTAACTGATAGAACAGAAGGGAGGCAGATAGTCAACTGCACCCACCGCCAACTGTTGGGCTACTCTAATCGGCTAGTGAGATTGATCGTTACTTCTTATAACGCACTCACGTCCCCTAAGTGCGGGGTTTGGTTTTGGAGCAATGGGTCGTGAGCCATTAACCCCCTTGAAGTTACAGTCCAGGCACGCTAACCACTGGGCCACGACTGACCCTACAAGATATTATCTTTAAGAACATTAATTAGAGAGTAGTAGCTCAAGTAAAGTACGCTTAGTTGATAACATTAAATAAAACACGAAAGAGCTTTACCTGTTATTACCTTTATATAGAACATTCCACAAAACACGTAAACCTAATTAATCGGCTTATTTCCAATTTTCTGGCTATATTTGTGAAGGGGAAAACAACGAAACTCTTAGCATATAGTCAGTTTACCCCTGATAAAGTTGAGAATCTCGGTAAATATGTAACAAATAATATATCCAACTCTAGTGAGGACTATGAAAGAAATGAAAAACAAATGGGTAGAACAATAAGAAGTGTAATGAAGAATCAGGGGAAATATGTGTTATCCCCCGCCCATCCCACCTCCAAAAACATTCTTTGAGAGTATATATTGTTGGCTGACGTCACAATAGTCTTTGTTACTGGTCAGGGAAACATTACTACTGGTGATCAACCCTTTGATTCGATGAGAAACAGAGGTCAAACAGAAATCAATCAGTGAAACATTACTACTGGTGATCAGCCCTTTGATTCGATGAGAAACAGAAGTCAATCAGTGAAACATTACTACTGGTGATCAACCCTTTGATTCGATGAGAAACAGAGGTCAATCAGTGAAACATTACTACTGGTAATCAGCCCTTTGATTCGATCAGAAACACAGGTCAAACAGAAGTCAGTCTGAATAATTGCCTCACTGAATGTAACTAAAGGCTGTCTCTAAAATAATTTGTCTCTGTATTTATTGTATATTATATATATAATAATTTATGATGTGTATAATTTGATGCACCAAACACCCTTTTAATAAGTGACGCTTGATTTACTTTTATGCTACTTTACTAAAGACTTAATAAATATCAGGCTATTTACCTGTTTTCTTATAAACTTTAAATAGACCTTTGAAGAACTGAGGTAGGTAAGCCTCCATTACTTTAATGGTAATGTCCATCTGTTCCAAAACACCGACAACGCTGTAATATTTTTCAACGTTCTCCTTGGCCTTTTCTAACGCCCATTCACTGTTAAGTACCCTGTAAATAACGCGTGTCAATCTACTTTGAACATTGAAGATAGATTTATTCTTTGAAAAGCAGATGACAAGAAAAGTAGTAACATAAACGTTACATATTTAGATTGCAAAACAACAACAACAACAACAAACAAACAAATAAATCACAAAAAAATTCAGTAAATTGAAATCTTGTTACATGTTGATTGTATTTTTATTGTATTTTTCTATATTTTTCTACAAACTAAATGTAAAAAAAAATAAGACTACAGCTAAACTTAATTAGACAAGATTCAATAATGAGTGCCAGCACGTGCTCACAAACACACACACACATCCTTAATTAGGGTTAAATCAATACAAATAATAACTCATTTTATGTCTGTAGAATAATATTTCAGGAACAGTCGTAATTAACTTGATAATAGCCATTCCTACCGTTAGTAAGAGAAGTGTTTTTTTTTGAGGGGGGGACAAATTTTATATGTACAAATAACATTTAGTTTGTTTGTTTGTTTCAGGATTTTCACGCAAAACTACATGGGAATTATCTATGTATAGCAGCACTGAATGACTAGAAGGAAAGTAACTAGTCAACAATGACTAGAAGGAAAGTAACTAGTCAACAATGATAAGAAGGAAAGTAACTAGTCAACAATGACTAGAAGGAAAGTAACTAGTCAACAATGATTAGAAGGAAAGTAACTAGTCAATAGCATTCACTGCCAACACTTAATCTGTTTTTGTTTGACAGAAGAGTGTGATTTGACTGTCACTCTTTTCATGCATCTACGGTTCCAAAATACCAAAAGCGCTTTTGTGGCAAGGAGCCGCTAGTAATACTCTCTTGCATTCACAGTGCAAGCACACTAACAACTAAGCCACAACATTTTAGTAAAAGTAGTTAAAATATAATAATAATAATAAATACGTTGTGTGAAAACGAGTTACGACGTCGTTTTTCGAAACTGTGACGTCACGGCATATAAAACAAAAAGCATATATCTACCTTTAACTTCCGTTAAAATTAACCTTGCTTTGAATATTCTTTTCTTCTGAATAATTCCTATTTTTATACTCAATATTCTTATGTCATTTTTATCTTCAGAATATATGTATATCATCGTAAATCTTATTGTTATAAAAACATGCATAGATTCATATGTTCAAACTGGGATAAGTAGGAAAATTAAATTATTTTATGTTATTACTATTGCCCTTCTAATATACCGATTGGTTACACTTTCCCTGGCGAGAAGTTCTAAATAAGAGGTGGATGTGACGCTGGTTCAAAAATATCAAATACCAAAAATATTATTTTGTATGTCTCATGTTTTTTTCTTTTTGTTTGGGGGAGGGTGTCAATAGTTAATGCATACTGTTCTAGATAGCAGATAAAGAATATTTTACGTTAACTTCTAAATCAATTGGTTTCTGAAATTTTCGATATTATATGTACTTAGAAGCAAATAATGCTAAAACGCGGGTTTCAATACCCGTGACGAGCACACCACATATAGACTATTGTGTAGCTTTGTACTTAACAAACATACAAACTTGTTGTCTAATATCATTTTGCTGGTTGAACAAAGTGAATTGTAATGAGCAACAAATAAACTCTGCAATTGTTATGAATATCTTTTCTAAATATTTTATATTAACTAAATATATGCTTTTCTATATATGCTTAATTAAATTAAAGATATAACAAATTACACTAAATGCTATATTTTATTTTGTTGGTGTTTTTCGTCGATTTTTTTAAAATATAACTCAGGTTTGATAATTCTGTAACTATAAACTAATCGAAAAGAAACCTAAACGCTAAAACATATAAACTACTGAACTTGAATGCATACGTAGTTTAAAATCATGAGAAGGTAAGAGTTTCATGCTTATATATTTTAAAATACCGTATTGGCTCGATTATAGGGCGATCTCGAATATGAGGCGACCCCCATTTTAGAGACCATGAGAAAGAAAATAAATTAGTGTCATAACGTCCTTTTTTTAGGTCTGAAAAATCAATACTATAACAGAACAGTTTGATAATAAACAAAATTACGACACTTATGATATACAACATTGTTTATTGACAAAAAGGGGAC